TCAGGAGGCTGAGATCTGAGGGACACAGTTTCAAGCCAGCCCAGGAAGGAAGGTTCATGGGACTCTTATCTCCACTTAACCAGCAAAAAGCTGGAAATGGAGCTGTTGCTCAAAGTGGTAGAGCACTAGCCTTGAGCAAAAGAAGCTCAGGATAGTGCCCAGGCCCTGAGATTTAGCCCCTAGAACGAGACCAAAAAAAAAAAAAAGAAAGAGAGAAATCCCTGCACAACCCCCAGTAAGCAATATATTATTACTCACATATAATTTGGGAGATGGAAAGGAAGGAAATGCAACCTTTATAATAAATATAACAATTTATAACAAATGCTGCTTAGTCTCCCCAGCTTAGAAGAATTTATTTAATTCTAATTGTTGGGCTGTCTCCTCTCCCTTTGTTTCTCCTTTGTGCTATGAAAAGATTCCATCTAAAAATACTGCATTTTTCTGAAAAGGAAAAATCTATAACTTGTCAAGCTCATTCAACTACTGAAATAAACAGCTGCTGCAAGTTCTAAATTAGAAGTAGCAAAAATCGCTTCCCTCACATGCCAGCTCTGATCATTTGATAGTGCCTGGACAGTGTGGACCCTGCGCCTGATTTGAGCCTTTGAAGTTCCAGACAGAGAGAGCGCATGTGTCATGGTCCTCAATGCAGTCTGTCCCAAATGCAGGACAGGAAAAGCAGTGGCACAGTGCCAAAGCCATTCTTGTTCTTAAAAAAAAAGGCATTTAAAGGGTTTTGTGCCAGTTCTAGGGCTTGAACTCAGGACCTCTACTTTCCCTTGGCTTTTTTGCTTGTGACCAGCACTCTACTACTTGAACCACATCTCCAGTTCCAGCTTTAGTAAGAGCCTCTTAGATTTGTCTTCCTGGGCTGGCTCTGAAATATGGTACTCAGATCTCAGACTCCTGAGCAGCTAGTATTATAAGCTATGAACTATTGGCATCCAGGATTTTTATTTTTGAGCTGCTGGGGGTGGAGTCTTGTGTATGTCAAACAAGCATTCTAACTCTGAGCAAAAACCTCATTGAAATAATTGTACATTGAAATAATTAACTATGAAAGATGTGACCATATATGCAGAATAATGCAATGAGCACCTGTGTGTCCTCATTCTGCTTCAGATAGGAAATACGGTTGGAGTCATACTGCATATTGGTGAAATGATTTTGAATGCTTTATCCTGTTTATACAAAACTAGCTTACTGGCTTGTTTTGCCTTGCATTTTATTATGTGAGATTCATTCACACTGATGCCTGTAGACTTCGATTGTTCATCTTCTTTGCTGTCACAAGGAATTTATGATGGGCCCAGGTTGGCAGTATCACAGCAAAAGCAAATGCTAATTCTAACCTGGTGGAAATGAATGCTAATCATCTATAAAGAACCATACTCTCAACTCAGGCATGGCTAGATTCCAAAGACTGAAATCCAAATACCAAAACACAAATAATAAACAGCAGAATCAGCCTCTTAGAAGTTCAAATAATGTATGCATAGGAAGGTTTTTGTAGAGAATAAATATTTAAAACTTTACGCCAGGTGCCACTGGCTTACACCTGTAACCCTAACAACTCAGGAGGCTGAGATCTGAGGGTCATAGTTCAAAGCCAGCTCAGGCAGAAAAGTCAGAGAGACTCTTCATTTCAATTAACCACAAAAATGCCAGAGTAGAGGTTTGGCTCAAGATGTAGAGTCCCAGCTGTGAGAGAAAAGGCCAAGTGAGAATTCAAGGTCTTGTGTTCAAGCCTTGGGACTGTTATACACTCACACACACATTCACACACACACACACACACACACACACACACACACACAATTAAGCATATTTAAAATACAATATGTTCTACATTAATAAAAATCAGTGAGAAACATTAACAATCTTACCTCTGAGAAATCATTTCTTTCTGCTTTCTGGATAGCAGATTCAGCCATCCAGTTTTTCAGCACATATCTGGGGTTAACAGCTGAAACCAAGAAGGACATCTTAGAACAATAAATCACTGAATCAACCCTAGCCAAATGCAATTAGTTCATCTTTTAAAACTTTGCTTGAAGGTTCCTAAAAGAAAGATTAATTTCAAATGTTTAAAACAATGTTGTGTATTTATTACTCTGGAACAGAACAATAGTTTGGGAACATTTTGATCAATATGTTCTGTTCTATTTTGGGGTTTTCGTCATTAATCTGGTTTACTTCACTATGTTAGTTGAAAATGAAGCAGATAATTCACCTGAATTAAGCCCAGTAGAGAAGATGGAGGGTGAAACAAATAACCAAATAAAAATAGGTGCTGCCTTTATTTATCTGCAGCACAGAATAAAAACTTGTCACGAACTTCTGCAGACTGTATGTGCTGCCCAAGAATAAGCAGGAGGGCCATATGACAAAATACATTATAAATCTGAATTTCTGACAGTAATGTGTATTTTATATTTAAAAATTATTGTAATAAACTAGGTACCAATGGCTCACACCTATAATCCTAACTACTCAGGAGGCTGAGATCTGAAGATCACAGTTTGAAGCCAACCTGGGCAGAAAAGTCCATGAGATTCTTATCTCCTGTTAACCAGCAAAAAGCCAGAAGTGGTGCTGTGGCTCAGTGGTAGAGTGCCAACCTTGAAAGAAAAAGCTAAGTTAGAGCTTCTAGCCCTGAGTTCAAGTACAGTACCAAGACACACACAGACATCTAAGCACTGTGTCTCTATTTGAAGTCTTTTCTGAAACTATTTTTTTACCTATCTTTATTAGATGTGTATTAGGGTCCAGACATTATAACAAGATTCTTTACACATATATGCATGTTCATCATTACATCCTTGTAAAATATTACCAGTTTGGTATAGCTATGAGTCATCAGATGGGGAGAGTGAAATATCTTTCAGACCAGACAGCTAAAAAGTAGCAGAGATGGAATTTAATAGTCTAGATTACAAAACTCATGTTCTCTCCACCGGTTTCCCCATCTCTCCATGATCTTTTTTTTTTTCTCTTGTGTTTGTAGCCCAAGCTACCAGACTGGCCCTGAACTCGAATTCTCCTGCCTTAGTCTTTCTTGTGTTCAGATTACAAATGTTGCTTTTATATACTAATCTTTAAAGTTGTTAAATTCAAAAGGAATACTTACTTGTCATTCTTTTCCTTCTTTCAGAATCTGTGTCATTCATATTACTAAAAAAATGAATAAAACAAAGGGCAAAGTTAACCATCACCCCCTGAAATTACATTTTTCAAACAGGAAGATATATCACATGATAAGTATTGACAAAAAATATACTAAGGACTGTGCAAGGTGGTGCAGGTCTCAGCTACTTGGAATATATAAACAGAAGATTATGTCTCAAGGTTAGCTCAGGCAAGCATTAGCAATATGCTCAGTCTTAAAAAAAATCAGGTGTGTGGGGCTGGGAAGGTGGCTCAGTGGTAGAGCACTTGCCTTGCATGCATGAGGCCCTGGGTTCGATTCCTTAGCACCACATAAGCAAAAAGAAAAAAGCTGGAAGTGGCGCTGTGGCTCAAATGGTAGAGTGCTAGCCTTGAGCTGAAGAGCTGAGGGACAGCACCCAGGCCCAGAGTTCAGGTCCCACAACCGGACCCTCAAAAAAAAAAAATCAGGTGTGGTGATTCATACCTGTAATCTCAGTTACTCAGAGGTAACATGATTGCTCTTTGACTCTGAACAGAACAAAAGTTTAAGAGCCTGTCAAAAGCAAACTAAAGCAAAACAAGATGAGGGTGTGACTCAAGTAGTTGAGCCAAGACAAAATGCAAGGCCTTGCGTTTAAACCCAGAACAACAACAACAAATCACATCAAGTCAGTATTTGAAAGAGATGGGAAAGAAGGAAAGAAGACATAGTGAAATATATTTATTTGAGTAGTTATTAAGTCTGATTAAACAATTTATAAGAGCCTTCCTTACTTAGTTATTTTACACAAAAAATCTAAGCTTCTTTTAACCAATTAAAAAACATTTTGTCTAAAAAAGTCTAAGTTGGGTTGGGAGGGTTGGGGAGAATTATTAAAGGGGTGATATTGATCAAGATACATTGTACTGTTTGTTGAATCATTACCCCTTTGTCCAACTACCTAAAGATAATACAAATAGTTTAATGTAACTTACCTGATACCTTTCCTAGGCTTAAACATAGTTTTCTGGACATAATTTAACTTGTTACCCTGCTCAGGACTCTCTTTAACTAGTTTTGGTGCCAGTCCTGGGCCTTGAACTCAGGGTCTAGGCACTATCCCTGAGCTCTTCTGCTCAAGCCTGGGGCTCTGCCACTTGAGCCATAGCTCTACTTCCAGCTTTTTTTTTTCCTTTTTGGAGATAGGAATGGTTAACTGGATAAGAGTCTCACAGACTTTCCTATTCAGACTGACTTCAAACCATGATCTGCAGATCTCAGCCTCCTGAGTAGCTAGGATTACAATCATAGAGCCACTGGCAGTCCTCAGCAGTCATTAATCTGTGAAGGGCTGTTTGCTTCAGAACATGCTGTGGTCCTGGCTCTCCATCCTCCCTTCAACTATCAGTACCTCCAGCAGCTTTACTCTTTCACATTAGTTGCTTCTGACTCATTGTGAATCAAGAAACAAAGTGACTTCCTGCAATTGCATCAGATGTGACACTAAGTAATCGTCAAAGGCCCTCCTGTAGAGCTTCAGAGCAAGGGCTCTAGAAGCATGTAGAGCCATGTGATCAGAGCTGAGGGGACAGGTGAATATTCTGCACACGTGAAATATTATCATAGATGCTTCATCCAGCAAAGAGTACCCAGGGGTGGAAAAGAAATGCTGAAAACTGGGAAGGCAGAGAGATAACTTGCAGGATAGTATATCACATACTTCTAGGGAGTGATTACATGACATTACCTCTTCAGTCTCAGAAGGTACTGGGATACCCAGGTCGGAAAAAGTTCATGCTCCGATACTCTCTTCAATGCCCAGAATTGCTACATGACAAAACAGCAATACATTGCTTATGCTAGTAATTGTTCAATTTCTCTTAATTTCATGTTCCTTTATATCTTTAGATTCTTCAATAATAACTTTGCCAGACTCTGTAGAATACAAGTTGAAGTAGAAGTAACATAAAAAAGAATATGTTTTCTTTATCATTCACTTTAAAATGTTAATTTGTAGAAATCCATTCAATGGGATGATTTATTTTGTAGTTTTTTAGATTTATCCTTATGTAGTTGTACAAAGGAACTGCTATTTAATAAAGCAGTTCATAAATACAATATGTCTTGATCTATATCACCCCTTTCAACATTCTCATTCATCCTTCCCCTACCAATCTCTTCCCTCACCCTTAAGAGAGAGAAATGGAAATTAAAAGGTTGGGTGCCTGTAATCCTAGCTCTCAGGAAGCTGAGATCTGAGGATTTCCCTTCAAAGCCAGCCTGACACAAAAGTCCATGAGACTATTATCTCCAATTAATCACCAAAAAGCCAGAAATGGAACTGTGGCTCGTGGTGGAGTGCTGGTCTTGAGAAGAAGAAAAAATAATAAAAGCTCAGGGACAGTGCCCAAGCCCTGAGTTCAAGCCATAGGATTGGCATGCATGCATGCGTGCACACACACATGCGTGCACGCACACACACGCACACTCACAAACAGGCTTTTCAGATGATATACTTGGATCATCATCATTATGCACCTATAGAGCAAAAACATAATTATTCAAGTACCTTGGCAATGTGTAGAGTATAATAGTCTTTTTTTTTTGGGGGGGGGGTGGTCCGGACCTGGGCCTGAACTCTGGGCCTGGGCGCTGTCCCTCAGCTCTTCAGCTCAAGGCTAGCGCTCTACCACTTGAGCCACAGCACCACTCCGGCTTTTTTCTTTTTGCTTATGTGGTGCTGAGGAATCGAACCCAGGGCCTCAGGCATGCAAGGCAAGCGCTCTACCACTGAGCCATCTTCCCAGCCCCAACTATAATAGTCTTATGATTCTGGTGTCATTTTTTAAATGAAGTTGGATCTTCCATGTTAAAAATAAATGAATGGAGATAGGGGAATGTTTATCTATAAGCATAATTTGCTTTTATAAACTTAACCTGCAACTGCATTTTATTTAGTTACTCTATTAATTTAGCAATTACTTAACTTAATCTATGAATTAATTTATTCATGGACTGTGTGCTATGCTTAGGTGGGTAGGATAAGGAAATTAAGACATGCCAGCATGGGCTGGGAAGGTGGCTCAGTGGTAGAGGGCTTGCCTTGCATGCATGAGGCCCTGGGTTCGATTCCCCAGCACCACATAAGCAAAAAGGAAAAAAGCCGGAAGTGGCACTGTGGCTCAAGTGGTAGAGCACTAGCCTTGAGCTGAAGAGCTGAGGGACAGTGCCCAGGCCCAGAGTTCAGGCCCCACGACCAGACCCTCCCCCCCCAAAAAAAAAGACATGCCAGGAATCAGTGGCTCATACCAGTAGTCCTAGCTTCTCAAGAGATTGACATCTGAGGATGGAAGTTCAAAGTAAGCCCAGAGAGGAACACTGATGAGACTCTTATCCCCAATTAACCACCAAAAAGTCAGAAGTAGAGCTTTGGCTCAGGTAGTAGAACACTAACCTTAAGCAAAAAAGCTAAAGAACAGCAAGCACCCAGACCCTGAATTCAAAGCCTTAGTACCAGCACTTACACACACACACACACACACACACACACATCACACACACACACACACACACACACACACACACACAATGCAGTCTATGAGCCAGACTCTTGTGGTCCCAGCACTTGGGAGGCAGAGACAAGAGTTCAAGGCCATCCTTAGCTACACAGTGAGACCTTGCAAAAGAAAAACCAAGGACTGTAGGTGCAGCACAGTGGTACAGCATGTGCCTAGAATTCACAAGGTCCTGGATGTCATCCCAGCACACACACACACACACAGAGCTACTTCATATCTATAAGCATAGTATTCCCTTATAATTAGCATAATCCTTACCTAATGGTATAATAATAATTGATATGTTTTTCCCTTCTAAACCAGTTTAATTCCCCTTTCTACACTGAACACAAACGCCTGTGTGATAGCTGTAGAATAGTCCATAAAGAGCTGACATCCCTTGCCAATACAGATTGCAACACAATAGCTTTTCCTGTAAACCTCAGATGAACTCTGCCTGAGATTACACCCCAAACTAGAGGACTGAGATTAAGAGAATCACCAGAGCCTCTCTGATGGATGTATTTCTACTGATCACTAAATCCTGAGTCCACGTGACTAGTGGTGATTCTCTCTTATAGGTAAAGCAAGTGATGGCTAGATCTGCAGCCATCTAACCTGCAATCACTACAGTAAACTTCCCCTTAAAAATACTGAGTAAAATCCATCTTTTCTTGCCTTATGTGTGAATGTAGGGGCTGATTTTCAGTAAAATAATGGAAGGTCAAAGAAAGATCTGACAGACTTAGGAAATTAACAAAGCAGATCTGATAGAATCAGGAAATTCTGGTTCTGTTTCTGACTTTGTAATAACTTCCTACATGAATCTAGAAAGTAATATGTGTTCATATTGTAAAGTGAATTGATCTTTAAGGTCCATTCTCAATGTTAAATCTTGTGATTCTAGATCTGAGACAATTTTAACAAATAGATCAAGAATTTCAGGGAACTAAACCTTCAAAACAAACATAATATCTTCTCCAGCATTTATTTTAGTCTTTTTTTTTTGGAATGGTTGTGGGGCTTGAACTCAGGGCCTAGGCACTGTCTCTGAGCTCTTGAGTTCAAAGCTAGTGCTCTACACCTTTGAACCACAGCACCACTTCCAGAAATGAATCTCACAGACTTTCCTGCCTGGGCTGGCTTCAAGTTGCAATCCTCAAAATCTCAATTTCCTGAATGGCTAAGGCACAAGCCACCAGCATCCAGCAGTCTTTTTCTGTTAGTAAATGTTTCCCTCTTAAAAATAAAGACATCCAATGCTGTTTATCCACAGGTTCCACACTAGCAAATTCAACCAACTGCAGATCCAAAATATGCAGAAAAAATCATCTGTGGACTTTTGCCTGGCATTATCCCCACACAACACAATCTAGCAACTATTTACATTGCATTAGACATTATAAGCTATCTAGAGATGATTCCAAGTACATTGAAGAAGCTGGAGGCACAGCTCAAGTAGTAAAACACTAGCCTAGCAAGTACACAGCCCTGAGTTTAAACCTCAGTGCCGAAAAAAATGAAATAAAAGTAGATTTTAATCTCAACAATAATAAAAACCATTAGGTGTTTTCCATCTAAAAGGTTTAGCCCAGCCAGGAGCTGGTGGCTCACACCTGTAATCTTAGCTAATTTAGGAGGCTGAGATCTGAGGATCATGATTCAAAGCCAGCCTGGGCAAGAAAAGTTGAAAGACTCCTGTCTCCAATTAACCCTGTAAAAAAAATTTAGTAGAGCTGTGGCTCAAGTGGTAGAGCACTAGCACTAGTTCAAAGAGAGCTCAGGCCCCAATTCAAGTGCCAGGACCAGTGTGCCCCCCCTACACACACACACACATATTTAGGCCTTATAAATAAATTCGTGCTTCTAAATACGACGTAAGTAAGACTCTGGTAATCCTCTACCTCATTGTTTCCTAAATATCATTCCATTATTCCATTACTGTTTAGCATGGAAATAAAGAGATAATGCATATTCTAACAGTCACTTTGGAAACAATTCATCAGTTTCTTTAAAAGTTGAACATAAATTTGTTAAAGGATCCAGTAGTTCAACTAATGTCTAGCCTGAAACTTTTTATAAATATTCATAGTAGCATTGATTCATAATAGCACAAAAGTAGAAATAGCCTGATGTCTATCAACTGCTAACTAGACAAGAAAAATATGGTATATCCTATACAAGGAGTTATTTGTCCAATAATGAATAAAAAAACTGAAGTAAGTTACAATATGGCTAAGCCTAAAAAACATGCCAAGGGAAGAAAGTAGATCAAAAGATCCCATCTTGTAGGATTCTGTGTACATGATAGATCTAAAAAGTGAAAACCTTTAAGGACAGAAAGTGAATTAGCAGTTGTCTGGTACTGGAAATGGAAGCAGGGGTTGACTGCAGATGGACGCAAGGATATTTCTAGAAAGATGGAATTATTCTAAAACTGAACCATAACAAGGACACAAATCTATTACTTATTTTTTAAATGATTGTACACTTGAGTGGGATTTTGTGTTATGTAAAGTATATGCCTAGAAACCTGTCGAATAACTGAGTAAGGAAAAAGCCAAGTGGCACAGTTTTTACCTGGGAAATGTTGAGCTCCTGTAACTGGCTCTCAGTAATCTCGCTGAGCTGCCGAAACGTCATGGTAAAATCGGCTTCTGTCTTTTCCATGAGCTAAAGAAAGCAATCACATGTAGTGATCCCAGTTCTTTTAAAACATGCTATTGGGATATTCTGATAGCATATAAACATATGCTAGAACATATAAACATAGCCATAAACATATACTATCAAAATTTGCAGAAAGAAGGTAAATGTAAACTCACATGTAAGAGAAATGCAATTAACTCATCATCACCTTCTCCTTCTCCAAGTAATCCCAATTTAGCTTTGAATAATTTTCTAAATCTAAAAGGAGAAGGGCCATCTTATTATTACAATTCTCACTAGTCTATGAACTGTCCTCCAATTGTCCAACCAAGATACTTCATCATCCAGATTCAAAAATGACAAACCTTGTATAATAAAGAGCAGGGTACCCATCAAGCATCTGAGCAGCCCTAGGGGATAAAAGGGAAAGACAGATAAACCATAATTTAAAATTAACACTCTTGAGCCAGTTGTCAGTGGATGACTCCTGTAATCCTAGCTACTCAAGAGGCTGAGGTCTGAGGATCTAGGTCAAAGCCAGCCCAGGCAGACAAATCTGTGAGACTATTACCTCCAATACACCAGCAAAAAATTTGAACTAGAAGTATGGCTCAAGAGGTAGGGCACTGGCCTTGAGTGAAAAAGCCAAGCAACTGTGCTAGGCCTTGAGTTCAAGCCCCAATACTAGCACAAAATAATTTAAATAAACCTAAACATTCTTAAATTACATTCTATTAAAATGGCAACACATATACCTGTAATTTCAACACTTGAGAGGCAGAAGGATTGTGAATTTGAGACCAGTCTGGGGAACATGGCAAAACCTTGTCTCAAAAAAAGAGGTCTGGCTGGGTGCTGGTGGCTCATGCCTGTAACTCTCAGGAGGCTGAGATCTGAGGATCACAGTTCAGAGCCAGTCTGGGCAGGAAAGTCCATGAGACTCTTATCTTCAATAAACCACCAGAAAACCAGAAATGGTGCTATGGCTCAAATGATAGAGCACTTGCCTTGAGCTGAAGTGCTTAGGGACAGCACCCAGGCCCAGAGTTCAAGCCCCACAACCAACAACAACAAAAAAAAGAGGCCTGGGGCTGGAACTGATAGAGTGGTTGTCTAGCATGTGTTAAGACCCTGGGTTTGATCTCCTGACCACTGTAGAAAACATAGATAGATAGATAGATAGATAGATAGATAGATAGATACATACATACATACATACATACATACATACATATATGCATCCTATACATATATTAAAAATAACAAAGAGATTACATGCTTGTAATTCTAGCCTACTGGCTTAATCACATATCATATATAGAGACAACTGTCACTATAAAGTTACTTATTCAAAGATTTGGATACCACACAAGTCAAATCATGTCATCACTATAAATAAGTAGTCTATAGGACAAATGTTGTTATGCTTCTGTAATAGCCAGTCATAGAAATATGATATTTGTATCAAGCTTTTTCTTGTAAAATTTTTATTGTCATTACAAAGGTGATTACAGTTACCTAAGTCAGGTAAAGAGCATGTTTCTTTTTGGACAATGTCACCCCTTCACTCTAGCCCAGTTTTTCCTCCCATCTCCACCTACAAGTTGTATAGTTCATTTTCAACATAGTGTCTAGTGAGTACCACTGCTGCATTTGTTTACAACTCCCTCCATTTCTATGCCCACTCCCCCTTACCCTCCCAAGGACAGATAAATGAACAAACAAGACAAAAAGAAAATGAAAACAGCAACAAAGAAAACCTTCTTGTTTCCATTTCCTGGAGTCCATTTCAATTTACAATCATCTTAAGACTCAAACTATCTCACCCAATATATTAATATCTTCTTTGTCTGAATATTTAAAAAATGAACCTATTATAGAAACTAAAGAGCAATCTTAAACTCATCCTTAAATAGTCTATCTCAGCATTCTAAATTTATTTCAAATGATACAAAAACTTAAAATATTCTCAAATCCCACCCCTTCCCTTTACCTTTCTGACCATATCTCCTCTAACTCCTCCTCTGGCATTTGCAAAGAACTGTCGATTGATTTCTTCCCAAATGATCTAATTCTTCCTAATGAATGAGTAAAATTCCATTGTATATATACACCACATTTTTTGTGCCAGTCCTGGGGCTTGAACTCAGAGCCTAGGCACTGTCTCTGAGCTTCTTGTGTTCAAGGCTAGCACTCTACCACTTGAGCCACAGTGACACGTCTGGCTTTTTCTGTTTATGTGGTACTGAGGAATTGAACCCAGGGTTTCATGCATGCTAGGCAAGCACTCAACCACTAAGCCACATTCCCATCCCGACAGTTTCTTTTTATTATTTTATTGTTATTGTAAAGATGATGTACAGAGGGGTTACAGTTACGTAAGTTGGGGAATGAGCACATTTCTTTTTGAACAGTGTCACCTCTTCCCTTGTTTTCTCCCAGATTTTCCCTCCTGATTCTCTTCCCCCACAAGTTGTATAGTTCATTTTCAACATAATGTCTAGTGAGTATCACTGCTGCGTTTGTTCGCCCTTTGTCCCAACTTTTCTTTGCTCCCCTTACCCTCCTCAAAATGAATAAATTTGCATACAAGATAAAAGGTACAGAAATAAAAAACAGCAACAAAAGAGAAAAAACAGCAACAACAAGCAAAATAATATAAAACCTCTTGTTTCCATTAATTGGAGTTCATTTTTTTAAACATCATTTTATTTGATCATATGCCCATAGCTATTGAGCCCTTATGATCCACTCCTAAGAACATCCTCCTTTGGTCTCACTTTTTGAATGTCTGGAGTCCTGTATAATTTATCATGCCCAAGTATATTTTTTTTTGTCTTTACTATCCAGTGTGTTTACTTGTAAACTTATAGGCACATTCTAGTTACAATGAATAAGAGGGAAAACATGCAGTCTACATTTTTTTGGGTTTGGCTTACTTTACTTAATATAATTTTTTCCAGGTCTTTCAATTTCCTTACAAATAGTACAATATCATTCTTTCTGATGGAAGCATAGAATTCTTTTTTTTTTTTTTTTTTTGGTCATGGGGCCTGAACTCTGGGCCTGGGCACTATCCCTCAGTTCTTCAGCTCAAGGATAGTGCCCTACCACTTGAGCCACTGTGCCACTACTGGCTTTTTCTGCTTATGTGGTGCTGAGGAATCAAACCCAGGGCTTCACGCATGCAAGGCAAACACTCTACCACTGAGCCACTTTCCCAGCCCGGAAACATAGAATTCTATTTATATATATACCATATTTTCTTGATCCATTCATCCATTAAAGGGTATCTGGACTGTTTCCATACTATGGCTATGGTGAATAATGAAACAATGAACACGATTATGCAGGTGGCTTTACTATATCCTAGTTTCTAATCTTTTGAATAAATGCCCAAGAGAAGAATTGCTGGATTATGGGTTCTATGTTTAGTTTTTTTTAAGAATCTCCAAACTGATTTTCAGAGTGGTTGAACAAGTTTACATTACCATCATCCATGCATTAGGGATCTTTTTCTCCCACATTCTCACCATCATCTGTTATTATTTGTATTCTTTTTGTTTTGTGTGTGCCAGTCTTGGGAATTGAACTCTGGGCCTGGGCACTATCCCTGAGCTTTTTTACTCAAGGCTAGAGTTGTATCACTTGAGCCACAGCTCCATTTCCAGCTTTTTTGGTAGTTAGAGACATGAGTTTCTCAGGCTTTACTGCCCAGGTTAGCTTCAAACCACAATCCTCAGATGTCAGCCTCCTGAGTAGCTAGGAGTACAGGCAACTGGAGTGAGGTGGAATCTCAGTCTTGTTTTGGTTTTCATTTCCTTTATGGCCAAAGATGTTGAGCATTTCTTCATATGTTTATTGGCCATTTTTACTTCTTCTGAGAAGTCTCTGTTTAGCTCATTTCCCCATTAGTTGGATTGCTGACTCGCTGACAGTTCAGTTTCTTAAGCCCTCTGTATATTCTAGATATTAGAGACTCCACCCTAGGCTCCTAGAGTTAATATATAACTTTAGCTAAATAGCACAGTATAAAAATCAATACACAAAAATCAACAGCTTTTCTATATGCAATAATAAGATCAAGAGTGAAATCAGGAAAGCAACTCCATTTGCAATAGTCACCCCTCCCTAAAAAAAAAAAATCCTAATAATAAACCTAGCCAAAGAAGTGAAGGACACCTCTAACAAAAACTACAAATTTTTGAGGAAAGAAATTGAAAAAGACATTCAGAAATGGAAAGATCTTTTAGGTTCCTGGACTGGCAGAATGTTGTGAAAATGGCAATACTGTCCAAGGCAATCTACAAACACAATGCAATATCCATCAAAATTTCAATGTTATTCTTCAATCCAAAAATCATATTGAATCACAAAATGTCCTGACCAAATCTCAAAAAACAATCCTGGGCAATAATAATAATAATAATGTTGGACATACAACAATTCTAATACTTCAAATTCTACTATTCAGCTATTGTCATGAAAACAGCTTGGTACTGGCACAAAAACAGGCCTAAGCACCCATGGGACAGAATAGAAAACCCAGAAATAAACCCACAAAGTTACAGTCAAGGATCAGGGAGCCAAAAACATAGGATGGAATAAAGAACAGCTAGTGTTAGGAAAAAGGATATCCACATGCAGAACACTGAAACCAGACCTCTATCTATTCCTTCCTATCATCTGTACTAATAGCAGTTCGAAATGGATCAAACACCTCAACATCAGCCCTGAAACCATGAAATAGGAAGGAGTAGGAGAAACATTAAAACATATTGACATAGGCAGGGAGTAAAGTTCCAGGAGCAGAGCAAATGGAAGAAAGAACAAACAAATAGGATTGTATCAAACTAAGAAGTTTCTGCATGGGCTGGACATCAGTGTCTCACGTTTGTAATCCTAGCTATCCAGAAGGCTCAGATCTGAGGATCACAATTTGAAGCCAGCCCAGGCAGGAAAAGTCCATGATACTTTTATCTCCAATTAACCACTAGAAAACTGGAAGTGGTGCTATGGCTGAAAGTGGTATAGTGCTAGCCTTGAGTGCAAAAGTTCAGGGACACCACCCAGTTCCTGAGTTCAAGCCCATGACCAAAAATATATATATATTTATGCATGGGGAAGGACCTAGTTAGCAACTAAAAAGATAGCCTACAGAACAGGAGAAGATCTTTGCCAGCTATATGTTAGGCAACGGCCTAATATCCAAGACTTCATGTGTTTACTATTCCTTCCTTGAAAATTCCAAACCCCTCTCTCCCAGTACTCATGCATTAGGAGATAGTACTTATCTACTAATATACTATACAACACATTTATTTTGGTGGTACTGGAATTTGAACTCAGGGCTTCACACTTATTAGGCAGGCACTCTACTCTTTGAGCTATACTTTCAGCTCTTTTTGATATGTGTATTTTTGATAGAATCTTTTTTGGGGGGTCTGGGGTGCTCTGGACTGTAATCCTCTTATTGATACTTGTTATGATAGCTGGAATGAAAGGCATGTGCTATAATGCCTACTTTTTCTGTTAAAGGGTCTCATAGACATTTCCCTCTCAGGCTAGACTGGAACCATGATCCTCCCAATCTCAACCTCTCATTAGCTGGAATAACAGATGCATGTGACCACAACCTGCTAAGATGGTTCTCCTGAACTTATTTCCCAGGCTGACCCCAAACTGTGATCCTTCCAATCTCTACCTCCTGAACAGCTAGGATTGCAGGTAAAAGCCACTGTGCTTGACTACAGTGATTGTAATGCAATACATTTTGACATTAATATCATTAGTAGATTTAGGATTTACTCACAGCTGCTTTTGCATAGGATCAAACAACAAGTTCAGCACTTGTAACAACTTGTTTAGATTAAACATTCCAATATTGGCTTGATTTCCTATTTTATATCTTCTTTCATTATCAGATGTGTTTGGTACAAAATCTGTTTTAAACAAAATATTACAGCTTTGTAGGAGGATAATTATAGCAAATACCTTCTTTATAATTTTAAGTTTGTATTTAATATATCATTTATATATAATTTATATAATATTTATATATTCTATTTCTATTATATATTATTTATATATTTATATTTAATATTTAATGCGTTTATATTTGTTAGGTAAACATTTTCTGGCATTAAATGCTTAACTAAAAGGTAATAGAAACATTTAACAATATTCATATACACTAAAAGCTTTAAAAATATAAACATTTGGTTGGGTACCAGTGGCTCATGCCCATAATCCTAGCTACTCAGGAGGCTGACATCTGAGGATTGTGGTTCAAGCCAGCCTACGCAGAAAAGTACATAAGACTCATCTCCAATTACCTAGCAAAAAGCCAGAAGTGGAGGTATGGCTCACGCAGTAGAATGCTCGCCTTGAACAAAACAACTAAAAGACAGCATCCAGGCCCTGAGTTCAAGCCCCATTACTGGCATCCACCAATCAATGAATGAATGAATAAAATATGAACATTTGCTGAATAGATCAATACATTTGAAAAAAATTTATTATCCTTAATAGTTGTACAAAGGACTTGTCATTTAGAAAAGCAGTTTATAAATACAGTGCCTCTTGCTCCATGTCATCCCTTTTAACATTTTCCTTCACATCTCCCACCCTATCCCCTCCCTTACTTTTCTTAGTTTGTAGGTTATGTATTTAACTTTTTGCTGTTTAGCAAAGCAATTTGTGTATACAATCCCTCTTGATCTGTGTCATCCTCTCAACATCTTCACTCCCTTCAATTCACCCTTCCCTTATTTGTCTCACTTCTGTGGCATACACAATACATTCTTGCCTGCATTCTACCCATTTCCCAGTTCATTCTTCTCCCCTTCTCCCCTTTTCCCCCTTCCCCTTGCAAGTACCCATTTCTTGGTACTTATTTTGTTCAGCTTCAATCTACTCTTTCTAAAGAATTATACTATTTGTGCCCTCCATAAAGTCTACTATGCTTCAGTTCATTCATTTATAATTTTTTGGTATTTTTATTTTTGATTAGTACGTATTTTTATATAAAGATGCTCAACAGAGGGGTTACAGTTACATGTGTAAGGTAATGAGTACATTTCCTATTGAGCATTGTTACCTCCTCCTTTGTTTTTCCCCTACCATCCCTTCCCTCCCCTCAATTATAAATTTTTAACCCACAAGAATTTCCACTTTATAAATTGTCTTTTTTTCTTTCTTCCTTCCTTTTTTTAAAAAAAATTTCAGTCCTGAGGATTATACCTAAGGCCTGGCACATGCTAGGCAAGCAGTCTACTACTAAGTTACATGTCCGGCACAAATTCTAGCTCCAGTAGCATGCCTTTTACAAAGCTTTATGTGACTGTTCTAGTCATGGGTAGTTGTTACGGTCACTACATTTTATATATTAGCAGGATGAGAGGTTTCCTTCAAAGACACAGAGACATTAAGGGCCAGATGCCCAAACCCACATGCGTGAGGACAGATCCCTGACGTACTTCATCTCCTTTGCCTAATGTGTAATTCCTGCAGGATAGAGGCCAAGGATTCATCCTTGTATGACTTCACATGCCCAGAAGGCAGATAAAAACAACTGTATCTGTGAATGAGCTCTAGCCATTGTTCTTCTTCTCTCCCACAATATTATCTACAACAGCTCAATCTAAAATAAACCTGTGAATTTTTTTCTTTAAAGAAACATACATGGGGGGTGGGAGATGGGGAGGTGGGAAGGGCAGGGATAGTAGGGGGAAAAACAAAGGAGGAGGTAATAATGCTGGATAGGAAATGTACTCATTACCTTACTTATGTAACTGTAACCCCTCTGTATAGTATTTTTACAATTAAAAAAAGAAACACACATTTATGTAAATCACACATACCTGGATTATAGGCCTCCATAAAACCAAATGGACCATAGTCAATTGTAATAGACAACAAACTGAAATTATCAGTATTGCACACACCTAAAACAACAACAAAAAAGTCCAAAAATATAGCGATAATGCATTTTTCTTTAATTCGATAAGCTATCCAGAATAAAACAACAAAAGATCTATCAACTATGTTATCAACTGTGTTAGAGAAGAAATAAAATTAAATTTTCAATGTAAAGTTTAATTGATAACATTTGATAGCTTAACATATGTTAAAATTATTATTTTAAAATTTGTGTTTGGGGAGAGGGCGCTAGAATCTTTTTTCTAGGGGAGAGGATGGCTGGAGATAGCTGTCTATTAAAGGAAAGGATCAAGAAAAACTGGCATGAAATGGATAACTCTGGAGAATGAGCTATCACTTCTCTGTGGTTTTAATTATTCACCATAAGCACATAGTACTTTATAATTAAATTTTAATAGCTTTAAAAAGCTCTAAACATAATATATACTCATGCATACAATAATAATGACCAAAAAAACTTCTCAATGCTGGGTGCTGATGGCAAAAAGTTCATGAGACCCCATCTCAATCCATAACTAGGTGTAATAGCACAGGCCTCTCATCCCAGCTACTTGGAAGGCTAAGTATGGGAAGACAATGGTTCTAGGCCAGCTTGGGCATAAAAGTTCATTAAACCCTATCTAACCAAAAAAAAAAAAAAAAAGCTGAGTATGGTGGCATACACCTGTCATCCTAGCTATGACAAGGCCAGCCCTATTTTAGAGATAGCAAAACCGCATCTCTTAACAACCAGAGAAGAATGTAAAGTAATTAATTAATAAACAAATAAACAGCTTGGCTCAAGGGTTAGAAAACCTTACTAGAAAAACAAAACCCTGGGGCTGGGAAGATGGCCCAGCATTCCCAGCGGTAGAGCGCTTGCCTCGCATGCATGAGGCCCTGGGTTCAATTCCTCAACACCACATAAGCAGAAAAAAAGCGGGAAGTGGCGCTGTGGCTCAAGTGGTAGAGTGCTAGCCTTGAGCTGAAGAGCTGAGGGACAGCGCCCAGGCCCAGAGTTCAGGCCCCATGACTGACAAAAAACAAAACAAACAAACAAAAAAAAAACTTCACAGGTGACATTGTCCTATTTTGTGATTACTACTCCCTTCAAATACAAGTTATTTCCCTCCCCATTTATTTATTTACTTGATTTGCATACATTCATGGTACAAGGGGTCTTCCTTGTGACTTTTTCCCCAAAGCAAAGAATATATCCTGATCAACCTCCCTCGCTCTCCTTTACCCACTCCCTCTCTCTCAAAATCACCCCAGCACCCATTTTCATTCATCCCTCCCCTTCTTGCCATCACTTAACCCCTAGACAGGCTGCCAGACTTTCCTATGAATAAAATCCATTTAAAAAAATGAAAGGCCTTGTCCTCTGTGGCTTACTTTAAAAAAATGTATATTTAAAATATTCAGAAGCCCACTGGCAGAATTTTTTTGAGGGCAGAACAAGGAGAAGATGTTGAGATAGGGCCTTGTCTAACTCACAATTCTTCCCCGACCTCCAAGTGCTGAGATTATTGGTGTATACCTCTCTGCCTGGCTAGCAAAAAATTTAAATACACCATAAAAAAATGTCTTTTGCTTCAACAAATTAATTCTTTTAATTCTCATCAAAAGAATGAATTGTCAATAGATAACTTACCATGAGCAAAACCAACAGACATCCACAAGGCTATAAGCTGTGCCACCTCAGATACCACGATAGAAAAAAAATCCTACAATAAAATTCCAAAATTTTCAGGATTTTAGTAATTTACAGAATAACCTTTTGCATCCTCTGACAATGCACAGTATAATAATTTTTGTTGTTGTTGTTGTTGGTCATGGGGCCTAAACTCTGGGGCGTGGGTGCTGTCCCTCACTCTTCAGCTCAAGGCTAGCGCTCTACCACTTGAGCCACAGTGCTACTTCGGGCTTTTTCTGCTTATGTGGTGCTGAGGAATCGAACCCAGGGTATCATGCATGCAAGGCAAGCACTCTACCACGGAGCCACCTTCCCAGCCCAGTATAATAAATTTAAAGAGAATATGGAACAAACTCAAATCTAGTCAATAGGTGATTAAGAGGAAGGAAACATGTACAATGGAAGTAAACTTAACAAGAGATAACATAGAAACAACATTGATATAGTAGGACCTGCATTCTTCATATTCAATGAGAAAAGTAAAGGTAATAGAATTCACAAAGGAGTTAAAGTAATGTGACTAGTCAACTTTATAATATGAGCCAAAAAAAGAGACCAATTCCCTTTTCTAAAATATGAAAATGGCTTATGAAGATCAATAACTTCCAACAACAGTAGCAACATTTGCTTATTGTACATTGTGTTTTGTGCCAGAACTCAGGCCTTGGGTACTCACTTGGCTTTTTCACTCAGTCTGGTGCTCTACCACTTGAGCCATACTTCTACTTTCAGCTTTTTGCTGGTTAACTGGATATAAGAGTCTCACAAATTTTTCTGCCTGGACTGGTGCTGAACATAATCCTCAGATCTCAGCCTCTTGAATAGCTACAATTATAGGCATGAGCCACTACTGCCCAATTATGCTTACTTTTAAAGTATTACTCTAAAATGCCTATCTACCTAATGTGAGGAAATAATATTTGTATTAAGCTATGAATGTCATTCAAAAAAATAACACCAGTGGCTCAGCGGTAGAATGCTTGTCTTGCATGCATGAGGCCCTGGGTTCAATTCCTCAGCACCACATAAACAGAAAAGGCCAGAAGTGGTAGAGCGCTAGCCTTGAGCTGAAGAGCTCAGGGACAATGCCCAGGCCTAGAGTTCAAGCCCCATGACCTACCAAAAAAATAACTTACTGTTGGGATGTCAGAACACTTGTTCTTTTTTTTTCTATGCATTTTGCAAACAGAACAATTGTACTATCCATGATGTAGTTCATTTCATCTCCTTCTAACAAAATGTTCAAAGTGCCCTACACCTCCTTTCTTAGATTTACTTCTATAAGTTATAAACTTTAACAGAAGACAATGAAAGATGTTAATGAACTATTATTGCCTTTTCTCTTTAAAAACTTACCACATATCTATTGGGTCCTCTTACATTCACTGAGGGGAAATACTCATGGATGATGAAATCTAATAGTGTCCTGGAAATTAGAAGGAGGTGGTGTCAGAGTTCTCAGGAAACAAAGTCACACTCAAGTGCTATAATCCACCCTTGAAATTTATATATTCATCCGATCAGCCTTAAACTTATATTCCAAAATAACCAAGGAGATATTTCCTTGAATAACAATAAAATATGTAAATGTGTCTCAAAGATTATGCTAGATTCTACCTTACAAGGCTAGAAATTCAGATTGGTTCAAGAAACATCCATTGAGAAGCTCCTGTATTTGCACCATAGGAAAGTTCTAGGAAAAAGACCTCCAAGAACCCATAGTCTATCGGGGAGGGAGGAGAAGAGAATATATACAGAAATCATAATAATACAGTATGAAAATACAATGAAACAAATGTGTAAAAGGTAGAGCCAGAACAAGGAATGATTATTTATATGTGGAAGGTCATTTAAAGCTTCACAAACAATGTGATTTTAAAAAATTGACAAATGTCTGCAGCTAAAATATTTAAAAGTAGAAGTGGCATTGAGGTTAAAAATGGTAGAGAGCTCAAGGACAGTGTGCAGGCCCTGATTTCAAGCCCCATGACTGACAAAAAGGACGGAAAGAAAGAAAAAGAAATGTACTCATTGCCAGGTGCTGGTGGCCCACACCTGTCATCCTAGCTACTCAGGAGGCTGAGAACTGGGGATCACGGTTTGAGGCCAGCCTGGACAGAAAAGTCCATGAGAGTCTTATCTCCAGTAATCTCACTTACATGTGGAATCTGAAGAAAGTGAACTCATAGAAACAGAAATTAGAATAGTGGTTACTATGGGTGAGGGGTTAGGAAAGCCTCTGACCCATGATTTTAGTTTAAGATGAATAAATTCTGGAGACCTAATATACATACTATAGTTACTAACAATCTATGTATACTTTAAGTTAGTTAAGAGAGTATATTTTAGCTGGGGGCTGGTAGCTAATGCCTGTAATCCTCGCTACTCAGGATGCTGAAATCTGAGACTCGAAGTTGGAAGCCAGCCCAGGCAGGAAAGTCCTTAAGACTCTTATCTCCAATTAACCACCAGAAAACCAGAAGTGGTTCTGTGGCTGAAAGTGCTAGAGCACTAGCCTCCAGCAAAAAAGCACAGGGACAGGGCCCAGGCCTGAGTTCAAGCCCCATGACCGACAAAAAAAAAAAAAGAAGAATATATCTTAAGTATTCTCACCACACTCCCATAAAATGTAACTGACTGAGGTGACAGAAATTATACTTACCTTGATTATGGTAATCATTGCACAGAATATACATATATCAAAATGTACACTGAACTGGAAATGTAGCTCAGTGGTAGAAGGCTTACCTAGCATGTATCAGGCCCTGTGTTCAATCCTCAGCATCACAAAAAGAAAATTAATTAATTACTAAAACACTGCATACCTTAAGTATATGCAACATTTATATGCAATATTAAAAGCAATTATAACTTAATTAAGTGAAGGAAAAATGCTTCCATAGCTTTAAAAACAAAAAGTTAATTGTCTAACCTTAGTAAATCCAGTTCACCATAATGAGCCAAAATTTCTAATGATCCAATTCTAAACCATGATTTTGCAACACGCAACACCACTGCACCTTTAAAAAGAAACATTTATTTTAGCATAAGATGATTTTAACCTATATAGTCAATAGCAAAATTTTGTTTTCCTTAAGATAAAATTATTTTAATAGACAATATAGTTATTAAATTTACTTAGAAAAGAACTAACTTCCATTCCACAAAGGGTCGAGGGTTTGTGGAGAGGTTTTTGTTAATTTGTTTGTGTTTTCCTCTACTACTTTAAGAACACAGTGGCTCTTGGGAAAACATCAGGGTAACAGTAAAATAAAAATATCTTTATATATGTGAAGTCCTAGAAGTGAAAATGGGGGGGAGGGGTAGTTGTGGAAATGGGAGGGAAGGGATGGTAGAGGAAAAACAAAGGAGGAGGCAAAAAGGTTGAACCAATTCAGCAGCGAAACCCACTAGACACTAGGTTGGAAATGAACTATACAACTTGAGGGGAGGGAGTCAGGAGGGAAAAAAAGAAGAAAAAGAAGTGAAAATGATCAAATGGGATTATTTGAATCTTTAAGACTATGGCTCAGAATTAAAATAGACTATATATACAAGTCATAGCAACAAAAGTAATATGCTGTACAAACCCCACAACAATCTGTGATCGGAATTTCATATCACCATGAACAAAGAAACAAATTGTTGTCATAAGCCTTTGTAAAACAATATTATTTTATCCAATGATATTAACAGGAGAAAAAGATGTTATAAAGAGATATAACTTTTAGTTTCATTAAACCTGAATGTTTTCAGAGTATTATTTTTTATGAAAATCTTATTTTTAAAAATGTATTACTATAGCCAGGTGCCAGTGGCTCACGCCTGTAATCACAGCTACTAAGAAGGCTGACATCTGAGGATCATGGTTCAATGCCAGCCTGGGCAGGAAAGTCTGTGAAACTCTTATCTCCAATAAACCACCAGAAAGCCAAAAGTGGTAGAGTGCTAGCATTGAGCTGAAGAGCTGAGAGACAGCGCTCAGGCCCAGAGTTCAAGCCCCACAACCAACAAAAATTATATATATATATTACTATAGGACTTGGAAGTGGCTCAGTGGTAAAGTGCTTGCCTTGAATGCATGAGGCCCTGGGTTCGATTCCTCAGCACCATATAAGCAGAAAACGCCAGAAGTGGCACTGTGGCTCAAGCGGTAGAGTGCTAGCCTTGAGCTGAAGAGCTGAGGGACAGTGCTCAGGCCCAGAGTTCAGGCCCCACACAACCGACAAAATATAAAAAATATACATACATACATACATATATATATATATATATATATATATATAGCCATAGTATCAAAGTTTGCAACTTACTCAAATTCAAATGTTGAAGTTTAATCAAAGATGGTATAAGAAGGTGGAATAAGATATGGAAGCTAGATCTAAAATACTCTCAGACATGATAAATTATATAAGACTAAACATTCACACACAGTGAGACCAAAGGAGAATGCTCTTAGGGGAGAAACACAAAGGTACAATGCCTACGTGCCTCTGATCATATAAGATAATATTTCAAAATGAACTCCAAGAAGTGGAAACAAGAGGTTTTTTTCCTTGTTGTTGTTTTTGTTGTCCTTTTTATGTGTTGTTTGTTCTTTTTTTGGGGGGGGGGTCCAGTCCTGGGCCTGAAGTCTGGGCCTGAGTGCTGTCCCTCAGCTCTTCAGCTCAAGGCTAGCGCTCTACCACTTGAGCCTCAGCACCACTTCTGGCTTTTTTTCTGTTTATGTGGTGCTGAGGAATCGAAGCGAGGGCCTCATGCATTCAAGGCAAGCGCTCTACCACTGAGCCACCTTCCCAGCCCTGTGTTGTTTGTTCTTAAATCTGTCTTTGGGACAATAAGAAGGAGCCCAGAAATGGAGGGAAAAAGGGTAAAAAAATGCACAATATACAACATGTACAATATACAAACAAATGCACAAATACAAAAGTCACAAGACACTAGACTCACTGCTGAGAGAAATTTTTCTCTCATTCCCCCTCCCCTCGATCTCTTTAGATGTACCTCTACAGCACATTTCTCATTCCCTTTCTTTTAAACTATTTTCCTTCTAAACTACTAAACATGAAGACAGTTAACTGAACATCCTAAATAAGAACATAAAGTAAGAGCAATCTGGTTCTGAGATAAGGTCTTATGGGGTTTCCTGTTGAGAAGTGCATGACCTGTCCCTTCCTGTACTGTCTTTGTGATACATTGTGAGCTGCTCGGAAACAGATGTCTGCACTTTGAAATGTATGGGATTGTGAGGTAAACATGTGGAACATGCTACCCTATTATAATATTATACTGTTAAGATTACATCTGGGGTGGGGGGGGAATGGGAGGGAAGGGATGGGAAAGGGAAACAAAGGAGGAGGCAACAATGCTTGATAAGGAATGTACTCATTACCTTGCCCATGTAATTGTAACCCCCTCTGTATGGTATTTTCACAATAAAAAACTTGGATTACAACTTGGAGAAAGAAACTTCCTTGGGTCATTTTTAAGAAAATTACAAAGACATCCACTATGTGTTGCTCAAAAAAAATAGTTTAATTTTTGTGTATGCATTTTAAACACTGTTACCTCGTTCTTTTGTAATATTACCATTGTAGAACTGATCTCGCCATACTTCATCATCACTTACAACCAGGCTGAAAGGGAAAGAGAATCCAACATTTTAACTGCTCTCAAGCTATTCAGAATACTTGAAATGACAAGAAATCTTGCTAATGGAGGGACAAAGGGTGAACAAATGCAGCAGTGATACTCACTAAATACTGTGTTGTAAATGAACTATGCAACTTGTGGGTGGGGATGGGAGGGAAAAACTGGGAGAGAGCAAGGGAGGGGTGACATTTTCCCAAAAGAAATGTACTCTTTACCTGACTTATATAACTGTAACCCCTCTGTACATCACCTTTAGAATGATCATATAAAATACACATTTTAAGAAAAGAAATCATGCTACTAGGCATTTATCTGCTCAACTACTGAGACAGTTCGAGAGCTAATATGATGCAGTCCCAAAAGTTAGCTTCAATGAAAGAGGAATTAATTGCCTTGCAGCTCTGCTAGTGGGAATTCCAAGATGGTGCATTGCCTCACTGCACAGAAATTCTCTCACTGAAGAACGGAGCACTGCTCTGCCATCTCCATTCCTGTGAGAAATGCAGTTGAAAAGATTTTCATCAGTAATTAAGTCAACTTTGATTCTTACTTAGATGCCTAAAGGCATTGCCAAACTATACCGTGAGTATGGAGTTCTTCCTGAGCCTTTTAACTGGAGTTCCCACTTTTCACCCTGCCTTTAAAATATAGATAGAGATACAGCTATTGATATCAATCTACAGATACAGATACAGATTAGAAGGTTCATGTTAGCATTTATATTATATTATATATTATATTAGCTATTATATTCTATTAATATATTACTATATTATATTAAATGTGTGCTACCTGTTCATGTAAATTCCAATAAGGTGGGCTCTTCCATCCCCAAGTTGATCTGCCCATATCCCAAACTAAAAGAGACAAGAAGGAAAATTAGTTATATTTATCATCTTTAGAGCTTGGGCAATAATTTGTATAGCCAATGTCTTTTGGTCAAAAAGTATAGAACAGAAACTTACATTTTTAGCATTGTAGTCATCAATAATTAGAATAGTAAGGAAAACAAATTCACTACACTTTCATTTAAAACATGCTATTAAATGAAATTCACTTAATAAAATATAAACTTGGTGGAGGCTCATGCCTGTAATCCTAGCTCCTGGGGTGACTAACATTGGAAAGACTGAGGTTTAAGGACAACACAGGCAGAATATTTCATGAAACACACTCTCAATTAAGAGCTGAGTGAAATATCATGTGCCTGTAATCCAAGCTACAATGGGAAGCCTAGCATAGGTAGATTATATCTGGGCATGTACCTAGACAGTAAGCAAAACTCAAAAATAACCAGCACAAAACAGGACTGGAGGTATGGCTCAGCAGTAAGAGCACCTGGAAAGCCGTAGAGTTCAAATTTCAGTTTTGCCAAATACATGCATGTGTGTGCATATATAAATATAAATTTAAACACTGTTCTTTTTCCATCCTATAGCAAAATTCATGTGTTATTGCTTAATTGATTAAAGAATATATACTAGAGCCAGGTCCTGGGCAGCCATGAGCAAGCAAGCCAAATAAATGTAAGGCCCTGAGTTTGAACTCTAGAATCACAAAAAAATACATACATATACACATATACATATATGTATGCACGTGTATATGTGCATGTATGTGTGTGCATATATATGTGGAATTGGATATATGATGTATGAAGAAAGGAGAAAGAATGATGAATTCAATGTTAGGAGTGAGATCAGAAAATTTGCAAGCTAGGGAGGGGGCGAAAGGGGGGGATGGGGAGGTGGGAGATGGGAAGGGATAGGAAGGGGAAACAAAAGAGGAGGCAACAATGCTTGATAAGAATTATCTTGCCCATGTAATTGTAACCCCTCTATACGGTATTTTCCCAATAAAATAAAAAAAGAAAGAAAATTTGCAAGCTAATTTTCCATCAATGGAAAGGAAATCATTGATTACACATAATTTCAGACCAGAGAGACACGAGGATATATATGAAATTGATTTTTTAAAGTTTTAGTTTAATTTATTGTACTATACTACGAAAATGCACAAAAAAGTTAACAATAGTTAACAAAAATAGTTAACAAAAATCTGTAGAGTATCAAGCTTGAATTTATGTTTTAACAATACATGTGTGTACAGGTTTAAATTACTTTCAAATAAATTTACCCTGAACATGAGACATCTTCTAAATCATGGGATCCTGTATTTAAGAGCTAGAAATGACTGTAAGGATCATTTCGTATAGAAGTTCCTAAACTGAGACACATAGTTCAGTGAAATGTTAATAGTAAAATACTGCAGTCAAGTAGATTTGGAAAATAATAGTAAAGAAAATTAAGCAGATTTCTTTGCTGAGGTACTTTTCACAAATCCTAGAATGATCTCAGTCAACCCCCTCTTCCTTCCTGGTCCTAATGGTTTGTACAACTTTGCTTAGAACTCTATAGGCTCTTGAAGAAGAAAAGACTTAACTAATCTGACAAACTAGAGGCTGATGAAATAAGAATTAGTATAACAGCTGACACATAAGCATTTTTCACATATTTCCTAATGTAATACTTATACCTACTGTTGGACCTAAATCTAATTCTCTGTTAAGCCAGCATTACCACAATAACTCCAAAATAAAGTCAGTATTTAATTGTACCTTGCTTGTACAGAAAGGACAGAAACATTAACAATTGGGCCTACATTCCCATGCTTATCTAATGATCCTGTACTCTGAACTTTTCAGTAGCTTGCTTCTAGTGTATGCCTTAATTGCTTCCTGAATATATGCATCACACCTTCTCCCAAACCTTGGTTTATTGCATTATAGTTCTACAACCTTGCTCTACAATTACTCTAGCAGAATTATAATATACTTGTGCTTTTCCAGTCTTTTATATTGACACATCATACTACTTCGCTTTTCCCTAAATTTCTTATGCAATGTTGTACTTCATGTCTGTCTAGCAATAATTTACCAAAAAGTGATATTTGTGCTGCCCCAGTGTTCTCAGTCCCCTTTTAAAAGCTTAAGTCTGTAGGATTTGCTTTTTGTTTTTGCAGTGCTGGGGATCAAACCCAGGGCTTCGCATATGCTAAGTATTTATCATGGACTTATTTACCAATCTCTACCGAAAAAGCCCAAACTAGCTTTATCACAGCAAGAAACAGCATAAGCAGTTTAGGATAGTATTCTTCTAGATACATCTTGTTCATGGGTCAATATGTTAATATTAGAAAATAATTGCAAAATAAATTCATAAGGCAAGATTTCCATCAAATGTGTTTTACTCATATCCAGAAGCAGAGCAGATAATGTTTCTTCCTTCTCTCACCTGATGGCCGCCATATCGGTGAGCAAGTGGAATGGATCCAAACACTATCTTTCCACCACTTACAAGCTGGATAAAATCGTCTGTTTCTGAGACAGATAAACTAAGGTCCAAAACATCTTCTAAAACTTCCTAATTCAGGGGGTAAAAAAAAATCGTATAAATCTAAGAATCTTTTCTTCTTACAATCTTAAGACTATTTTAATCATCTTCAAGAAAAAAGACCAATGGAAGAAAATGACAAGAATAAATCTCTCCCCAAAATATCTCATGTATACCTTTCAATAAGAGATGTATCATACTTCCTATGACTATTCTGTTTGGAAAAAAATGAGTTCTATTAGAATTTTCATGAGTTTCTTGTGATTAACAGTAAAATAAAATTTACCTAGCACATGCTTTTTGAAAAAAAAAACTAAGTAGAAGTAAATGTCCAACATTTAATTTCAAATTCATTTATTACATGAGAGAATAAGTTAGAGTTTGTTATTAGTGACTGTTTCTAAAAGTTGTCTAGGTTAAGAATTGAACTTTTTTTTAACTAAAAAAAGTAGTTTCCTATAAGATGAGGATGAAACTGACACCACATTTTGAGAATAAGAATTAAAAAGTGAAGCCGGGTGCTAGCTCACCACTGTAATCCCAGCTACTCAGGAGGCTGAGATCTGAGGATCACGGTTCAAAGCCAGCCTGGGAAGAAAAGTCCGTGAGACTCTTATCTCCAATAAAACACTAGAAAACTGGAAGTGGCACTGTGGCTCAAGGGGTAGAGCGCTCACCTTGAGCTGAAGAGCACAGGGTCAGCGCCCAAGCCCAGAGTTCAAGCCCCACGACCAACAAACAAACAAAAACAAAAGAATTAAAAAGTGATTCATAAGAATGATAGCTTCCAATACATTTACAGTATCTCTTAAGTATGATGATTGTCATATATCAATAGATGAACAATATTAACTCTAAGAAAGTACTTGATTTAGTAAAACTAAATTTGCCAAACTACACTGTAGTATGAAAAAATAAAGTCTAACCTTTGAAACTGCTACAAGACGTACTTTTGATTTGAAAGGAGTAGGGAAGGCAACTGAAAAAATACAGTTTTTCACTTTACGAACATAATTTTCATTAACAGGATCAACTGGCAACACATCTGATTAAAAAAGAAAAAGAAAAGAAAACCCGTCTTAATGTTCTCATCTGTTTCATATACAGCATTTACATTCCTTTGAAGAACTATGGCTTTTCAAAACACCAATTTAAACAATTGTTTTCATCAGATCTCATAATTCAGAAGACTACTTTTTTTTAATTTTATTTTATTTGTGAACATAGTGTACAGAGGAGTTACAATTACATGGGGAGGATAATGCGTACATTTCTTACCAAGCATTGCAGCCTCCTCCTTTGTTTACCCTTCACATCCCTTCCCAGCCTCCCCCCTCCCCCCCAATCCCAATC